GTCAAAGTTACGTAAAGTTTATTATTAATTCACTCTTGTTTCGTTTCACTGGCGTTTTTGTCAAAGTTTTTCTATATCTTTCAATATTTTTGTTTTTAGTCGTATGTTATTTAGAATTGTTTATCTTTTTATTTTGTTTGTACTGTTTTGCAGATGTGGGTTGGTAATCAGATTGTCGTTCCAAAGGGAGAAAGTAAAGTGAATATTTTTAGTATACTTTTTCGGTTCGTTAGGAAAATAGACTGGGTTAGTGTCAAAGTCAAAGTCAAAATCATTTATTCCAACTAAACCATAAATAGGTACTTTTGAAACGTCAAAGTGTCGAATGCCTATTCAGGTTTGCTACTTATGTATAGATGAGAGCAGTCTATAGATTGTTCTATATTTTCCAGAGGAATTACAAGGTCTTTGCCGATCTTTAGAGGATTAGGAATTTGGAGCTTTAGGGATTGGGGGAAGGGAAGGATTGGGCCTAAGTTAACCTCACTCACACGGCGAAATACAACGCTGTGGTTGTTTCATGCCGGTTTTCTGTGTTGCCGTGGTACCTAATGAATGGAAGGAAAGGACAGATCAAGTCTGTATAAACTCTCAAGGACAATAACAGAAAAAAAATGTTCCAAAAATTAAAACACAAAATTTTTTTTAGCAAAGAATAATATGACCGTAAGTGGGTCAATACTTAATATTTATTTCATTCAAGAATAGAACTCCAATATACACTACAAACTCGTTGTGTTTTCACAACTCCAATGTATGTAGATATGGAAAGCAATTCAAGCATACCCGGGCGTAATGGTTGTGCTGGCTGCTAGTGAATTATTCATAAGGATCACAACCCTGGCTTATATGACGTAGGTAGGTAGTATTCTGCCATTTTATTTTATGCTCCATACACTGTAGGTTACAAATTGATGTATTCGGTGTTTAAAGCTGAATGTAGCGAGTTTTTAAGAACTACATTACTAAGTAACATATATTATATATACCTACTAACATCAATGGTATATAAAAATCAATGTCACTTTTCGTTGTAATGTTATAACTAAACAATGCTTTGTGGTCTTGAATTATTCGTGGAAGAAAACTTTTGTATGTAGAGACTAAAAATTTTCAAAAAATCTTGAAAAAGTGTAAAATTGTCATCCACGCGGGCCGAACCGCGGGTAATAATATATTTTCATTAGATAATAACTGTGGCCTCGGCCTAGAGCAGGAGAAGGAACGAGTGGTTTTTAGTCAGTACGAGTCTGATATTCACTCTCGCTTCACCGTAGATGCGAGGAGTCGTTTGATCATGTTTCCCTCACAAAAAAAACTATCGAAAAAACAGGCGGATCACATGGTCACCAGTTGCATTAAGTAAGATACAAATACGTGTAACGATTGAAAACTTTTTACCCCCGCGCCGTCTATAATACAAGAAAACTACAATGCTTGCTTTTAATATGAGAACTGATAGAAAAAATTACGTGTATAACAAGCAAAACGGTAGAAAACAGCCATAAATATTTATTGTAACGATAAAACCCCATGATTTCCACCCCAAGCGTTTGAATCATAGGCTCATTATAAATACAGGAGGACATTTATTAGTTATTTACCCCATACGGAATTGGGATCCCATGTTTCACGGGAGTTCAAAGATGTTTGTGTAGGATCCTACAGAAGGGCAATGTTTTGTATTACAAACCGCTCGAATTTACCCACAAAATCCTGAATAAATAAATAGAGAGGGCCCATTACACGAGCATACATTTGATAAATTAAATGAAGATATTTTCAAACGTGAGTGCACTGTTTCATTTTTCACTGTAGACAATGTTACTTAAATTAGTTATGACTATGAAAAAGCATACAATGTTGAAAATGTTACTAATAGTATAAACGCTAAAGTTTGGATAGCGTTGATAACGCTAAAGTTTCTAAGTATGGATGGATGTATACATGTACCTATACATGTTACTATTACTATTGAACTTGTCTAATTGAAATTTGGCACAGTGATAGATTATAGTATGGAATAATATTAAGACTTTTACTATGGCACGACGGATAAAGCCGCTGACAGAAACCCTAAAATACAAATTCAAGATGTAACAACTCGATTTTTCTTTACCGATGATAGAACTGTCGGGTTTTTAGCCAATTTTTCGAACTTATTGCTGATTTAGTGTATGTATTGATTGTTACAGAAACAGCAAAATGATCGACCCAAGCTCATCGGAAGAAGATAGTGAAGATGAACACAAGAAGCAACCCACCAAATTACCAGGTATCTATAGTTAGAGGAGACCAATTTAATCTAGCAGAGGAAACACTTGGTGGAGTCAGTTAGGGTTTATAAAGATGATAATGATGATGATGTTATTGATGAAGTTAAAAATAAAGTAGTTAATTATTTTATTTTAGAAGTAGTGTTGAAAAAGATAGCGTTGATTATGGAATAGAAACTAGGAGAAATTCTAGTTGAAAAACTTCTCAATTGATTGTCAGGGATATCATCCTAAAATTATAGATTGTCTAACGGATACGGTAAAGTACGCTGTGCAAAATTTTCTATAAGACGTTAGTTGCCAAAGTTATATGATTATACATTGTTTTCCTACATCAGTTTTACCACCCGGGACCCTGGCGGGTGGTAGACCATCAGTCCGAGGGAAACCAGAACTACCTCGAGGGTCCACAGCCGGTCTACCAGGAAAAGGTAAGTATATTTTTCCATAACGACATTGGACCTGACCTAATCCCCGACTGCAGCTCCAAGTGTAGGTTATTTGTTACAACTCAAGAGGACTTTTTATTTCGCTGTTCAAAGTGGGGTTACCGGACTCCCAACTCTTCTCCTCCCCTCACCCCTCCCCACCCAAATCCCTAAATCTCCGAAGTCCCAATTCCCAAAAAGGCCGGTAACACACTTATAGCTCCTCTGGTATTGCAAAAGTAAATGAACGGCGCCGATTGCTTACCATCAGGTAATCTATCTGCTTGTTTGTAACCCTACCATATTTAAAAAAATCTTCTTAGTTTCATCTTTAGCGTCATATAAGCACTCAAGTTAAGAGTACTGTGTAATTTTCCACAAATTTTGTTTTTGAAAGGAATCAATAAACATGTTAGTAGGCGATCCTAAGAACCGCCTTCTATATCAAAACTAAGCACAATTTACAAACGAGATGATCTTAATACAAAGACTTAAATAGCATTGCTCCCAATGTCAAAAATAGCATCCATTACGTAGTCTTGATTCAACTGAACTGAATAATTTAAATATGGAAGTTCTCAGTCATTTCACTTTGACGTTGCGACACCTTTTGTTGAAGGAAAACCTAGATTACAATGCAGATTATATACGAAATTCTGTCAGACATACATTATTTTAAAAATGATAAAATCAATAATTGTAGGATTGTTATATTTTTTTTGTAACAGGTCCTACTAGGACTTGGTGCTGTGGTATTTTATGGACGGCACAATAATTATTTTTGTTCAGATAAGACATATACACCCTTTGCGAGTTTTGAATCAAACAGTCTTACCGTTTGGTAATCAAACCGCTCTTGTGTCAGCCTATCACAAAAAATACTTTTGTTGGTGAAGTAAATTGAGTTCACACTACTTGCTTTAAGATTTGCAGTACAACCTCTCCCTTAACGCGCGAACACACGCAACGGTTGATGATTTTGATACTGAAGCAAAATTAACACTATTTTTGTCTCTATTTTTATCAATTGTACTGTCTACTTCTCTAATCATTTGATTATAATTTACTATAGTTTTAATAAACTTGTCAAAAAAGCTTTTCTTGACAGTCAAACTAGCCATCTCTGAACCAGTCAACTAATCTAATTTTAACTTTAAATTCTACCTCTCAAGGTCCAAGTCCATTAACAACGGCTCCACTAGCAGCTCCCCTTCATCCAGCTACCAGACAAAGAGAAGCTGCAGCATTGGCACCACCTCCTCATGCGTAAGTATCTTTACTATCATACAATATACCTTCTAACTCACTTCCATTTCCATTCACGAGACATTCTAGGAAAAATCTAGAAGCTATTTTTAAAGTAGTCTGTCCTTGATCTTTCCCCTGACCCCTTTAGCATATAGATTTAGGTTTAGATTATTTTAGAAGTCTGATAGATGTAATGTTTAGAGTAAATGAAGAATGCGATAAAGTGCATGATAATGTATGCTTATATGTAGCTAAACATTATGCAATTGAAAAGACATTGATAAAAACGGACAAATGCAATGGCAAAAATGAAATCTTTAATACGTTCCTTCTTCGTTTACTCTAGGAATGTAACATCAGAGATTGAACTGAAGTATTACAATAGTTAAGTAACATTAAACATGTAGATTGTTAAGTTTTGCTTGTGGTAAAAGTAGTGTCAAGCACAACCATAAGTCTATATACACTGAACAACAAAATTTTGACAATAAATACCAAAATCGAACTAATTTGAGAAATACGACACAAGAATCTCGTCCTTAAGAGTCGGTGTGTAAAGACCAGTTTCACTTACATTGACGACTTAATGCTATAGATCGAGTAGATCATTCTTGCGCAGGACATCGACTGGGAGCGCAAGCTCGGGGGAGGCACCAGCTCCCTCACCGAGCCCCTCTGGTGCCAGCCATTCAGACAAAGACCAGGATCCTCAGGTATTATTTCCTTAATGATAATTACTTATCATAGATAGCACTAACGATGTAAGACATAAGGAAGGGTTTTTACAGCACTTTCAATAAATTAATAAAAGGTAATTTGTATTTTCTATAATAGCTCTGAGAAAAAACATTGTAACGGTTTGTCATATAAGGTATAAAAAAGAAAACTCCAATTATCTATGTGATAGTCTTTTAGAGACAGAACCACACAAGTTTGAGTGGAGCTGTTATTATCTTGATTGTGTGTTTTGTTAAAAAAAAACTTCTACATGTTTTATTGGCTCATTTACTATATTTCCGCATATTTCCTTCAATAGGAGAAAATCGAAAAACTAGAGGAAGACAAAAAACGCCGTATTCAGCTTTACGTTTTCGTATCTCGGTGTATTGCTCATCCGTTTAACGCGAAACAACCAACTGATATGACCAGAAGACATACGAAGCTCACTCCTCATCAACTGGAAACTATACAGGCTCGGTTTCAGGTAAGAATTTTCATAATGTCTTTTAATTTCCTTGTTTCAAATAACTTGTGTTGAAACTAAGTCTTGACTGACTTGACTCTGATGTAAAAAAACACACATAACAGTTGTAAAAAACTTAGTTACTCCAAAAACATAAGTTGTAGAATAGACTAACAGCGAAAATTGAGTTTATTAAAAAAATATAGCTCTAAAACCTCGTTCAAATGTTGGATCTTCCGAGAATATCGTAACAGATAATGAAGCTACAATACAATTTAATGTAAATAGGTATTCCATTATAGAAAAAACAAGCTCCCTTTGAGCGGTACAAATACAAATTATTATAATTGTATTCTTAAATGTACTTTTCTTTATCTTATCCTCAAATAATGGTACATATAAAATAGATGTACTTACAATAGCAATACCAGGAAATTTATCACAATAGCTATTCGTATTTTATATTTCGTAATATGGCACGAAAAAAAAATGGTCTTTACGTTTCCGATGATATCGTTTGCAAAGACTCCTTTATAGGTTATGAGATTTCTTACATCTATTTGCTTGGATTTTACGTTTAGGTCATATTTTATAGTTGGTATGGTTTTGTTGTGTTAAAAAGACAAAGCGCTTTTTAGATACCAGATCGAAAAAGCGCTGTATCTTTTTGTAATATAATTGAATCCTTGCAAAATGGTTATATTCTTTTTTGGATTATTTGGGTTTGAATGTTGACAATCAAATCGATGAAACTAACTCTTTTGTTTCCAAAATCCACTTAGGCCTTCCTCAAGGGTGAGACACAGATCTTGGCGGACGAAGCATTTCAAAACGCAGTTCAATCATACCACGATGTTTTCCTAAAATCAGAAAGAGTGGAACAGATGGTGAAGTCAGGAGCGTGTTCTCATCACGACTTCCGCGAAGTATTCAGAAACAACATCGAGAAGAGAGTCAGGTTTGGAATGTTAGGATAGATCTCATTTTGGCATTGCATGCCGGTGAAATCTATGTTTTTAATTTATTAGTTTTAAGTATTGTTTCGTCAAGTGCTATTATATGGCAAGGGATAATAAGGTGACTTGATTCTACGTTTGAATTTTTATTGTATCAATATTTATAGCTATACCAAGTAATAGTGTTCTATAAGAAATGAAGATGGATATCATCTTCTTCAACTTTGTCTCTATAAGAATGAAGGACGTCAGATGTTTGAATGTGATCTGATTAATTAATTCATTCATGTGAATATTACAATTTGTCTGGAGCTCAGTTGTTTGCGCCCCCTAACCAAGTTGACAATCAATTATAATCTTTAAAGCTTTAGTAATGTAACAAATGTACGGGGATTTATTCGCTACAAAACTTCTCGATGACCTAGAAAAATTCCATACACTTGTTACGTATCTAGAGCTATATTGATTATCGATTATAACTTGAAAACGGGGTGAGGGGTAGACTCCCTTTAGCATTCTTCTTAATAATGGTTAGTTTTTAAATTGAGACTTCTTCTATCTTTAAGGGTCCTTCCTAAACTAAGTTTTTTACAGGTCTCTCCCTGAAATAGACGGATTAAGTAAAGAAACAGTTTTATCATCATGGTTGGCCAAGTTTGATTGTATTATGAAGGGCACAGGTAAGTGTCTTTATTTCTTTCAGTATTTAAAATAAAAAATATTGGGAAGAGCGAACCCGATACATTTTGATGCATGATTATAATGCGATGATAATATCTCCTAAATAACGAAAAATAAATTAGCCAAGAAATGTACAACATTCTAGAAATACTAATCAGTGTTCTAATGAATACGACAGTAGCAATAATTTAGATCAATAGCCTTGTAATATTACAATTGTTGGAAGTTCGCTTTTCTCAAGAGGGAAAGCTAATGTTGACGGAAACGAAAAAGAATTTCTTCAAATTATTACCTTATTGTCCAAAACGATATATTTGCTCTATACTGCAGCTAATAATATTTTAAAAGAGGACCAAAGCCATTTCATTTCAGTCCTTAATGCTTATTGGGCTATTTACCAAAGGTACAAATCCCAAAAAAAAATAGAAAAGGATCTATCGAATGTTTCTAAGAGCAAAATGGACTTCCTAATGGAGCACGTAGGCGCCGAGAAATTTGATATTTTATTGAAGACGTCGTAGATGCAAATGTCAACAGATACTTTGATGACGCCTACTTGAGAAAGTACAAAACAGTTTACCTTAGCAATTTTGATAAGTCCAACTAGTTCCTTTGGATACCTATTTATAGCGATTAATTAAATATTTCCAACTTAAATTTTACCATCACCTACACTAAGTCTACAGTTTATAAATAACCTTACATTTTTCTTACATTTTTGTTCGTTATTTTCTTTAATAATCTGTAATTTGGAACGAGCAACTTTATTTAGATTTACATTTACTCAGACAATATTCTATATAGGTTGATGGTTCAAAAATTATTATTAACGTTGTAAATGAATCTACTGAAGAAATTTCTTCTCGTTGACGGCAGCTAAGTTTGGAGTGAAGGAAGAGCATGTGCAGTGTTTGACGCATCAGTATTGATGTGCTTGAGTTTGCAATGTGCCTTTGTATGTTTGTGTAGCGCTTGTGTCTACGCGAGCCTTATAATCAAGATCATCAACATGATCTTCAATTGGTTCTACATTAAGTTAGTCATCATCTCAATATAAATTATAACATCCTTCAACATTGTTAATGTTTAAATGACATTTGATTGCCTTCAAGCTACACAAAAGTGTGACAGCAATAAGCTATACAACAGTGTTTAGGAAAGCGCTTTAGAAAATAAAAGCGACATGAAAACGATTTCTGTATTCAACAAACGGTGGAGGTTCTGAGAAATATAATAAATACATTAACAGACCTACAATGTGCGAGGTGTTTCGGGGAAATTTCAGCCAATTTATTTCATCAAAACCCTGAGCGGGAGCTTTATGCTTTACCGTATTTATTTAAAACGTTATCGGTACGTTCTTTGAGTGTATTTCATTAAAATAAATAGCTTAATATTCAGTTTAAATGCTAATTGTATACAAATTTACTGTATTTAGTTCAAGTTTTCCGACATCAATGTCTAAAAGGATTGTAAAGAGACTTTCAAAATTATGTACTTTTTACTTCTATGGCTCTGTAGGCACAAGAATGATTTGTGTGCGGTAGTATTTACTTAAAATTAGTTATTTCAATAAAAACGTCATCAGTTAGATTTGGACCTAAAAAAATGAGCGCGATCTGGAATATTTTTTTAAATCAAAGACTTATTTTATTCGTGATTGGAATTAAAATAATATTTGTTTTGATAAATAAGTTTTTTTATATTGTATAGATAACCATAAAATCCATTTTATCCTGATTTTATGTAAACATGAATCCTGTGTATGTATTTTATCAACCATTCCTAAAATACGTTTTACAACTATTGCAGCATTTTGTTTAAATATGATATTTTCAATTATTTTTCTCATTTATGTAAGTATCAGCGCCAAACGTTATAGCAAATAAAATCAATATCAAAATGCTACAATTTCAAGAAGTTTATTCGTTGTATTTTATTTAAAAAAAATGATTTACCATTCAAAGACAATTTCTGGTCACGCCTTTTTCTGGACGAAAATGTTGTCAACAACGAAAAAAATTCGCTAGAAATAATGCAACCAAAATATAGACTAGGTATAGTAGAATGTAAATGTCTGACATTATAAATAGGAGTAGGCAAATCTCTGTCTCATTATAAATTCAATAGACTTTAAATTCCAAAATTTTAAACCTTTTTTACTACTTCAGTACTAAGTTTTCAACAGAGATTTGCTTATCAAATTCGTAAGCTGAATCAAAATTACGAATTTGCAACATCGATCCTAAGGATAAATGTACTTGATAATGTGTGTGCCTGTGTCTGTCTCACTGTCTGTGTTTCTTTCCCTTTCTCTCACAACATGTCTCTCTCACACATCCTGAACAGGAATAACAGGTATCACTCGACAAGATTTTCATTTATTTCCTTCCTTTTTATCCATATTTTCGCTTACGTCTTGTGTCGTTGCTTGATTTTAGTGTACACCGAGGCATTTTATGGTTATAAAGTTTTACGAAATCTTTTTCAAAATTTATCTCTTTATTAATATCATCGAATTGTTTTTCCAATTTCACATATTAAAACTCTTTTACGATGGTTATAATATTTCGTATTTCTTCATTATCGTTTACAATGAACTCGTTAATGTCGATTTTAAAAATTTTACTAACACTATGATTAATAACGTCATTCATAACATGATCAGGATCATTTATTTCATTCATACCATCTGCTGGTATCGCAACTATTATAATAAATTTTACAGCAACACTTTAATTATTATTACGCAAATGAGTAGGTTTAATTTGTGTTTTGTTACATAAAGGTTAACGGATTGTTGAGGTAAGTTTAGTACTAAGTGCACTGCATGTTTCTGTGTTCAAAACCACAATTTTGGGCTTTCCGTGTTACAAACACTTTTCACACTAAATATAACTGTTTATTCAAAGCAACGTTTATATGAAAGTAGAATAAGATTTTTTATTATCTGTCAGACTACGGAAATTTTAATTGATAACTTTAACAAAAAGCCTCGTCTTTATTATTATAATACGAAGGATTTATTACTGAGTAAAATGAATTCCTCTATTCCATAGTTTTTGTATCAATATCTTAAGATCTGTTTACCTTCAGGCATACCGGGAGATGATGAGTCCAAAAGACCGTCTCGAGCACAGCAGCAAAGTCTCAATGCTGAATGCATCCTTAGCAAAGAGCAGCTGTACGACATGTTCCAGCAAATTCTTGGAGTAAAGAAGTTCGAACATCAACTTCTTTTCAACGCTCTTCTTGTGAGTATCTTCTATGTTAGCCAAAGAAGTTTGTATATTTTTAGCGTCAAGGAAACAAACCGACTGATTTCCCAATGAAAAGCAATTAGCGCCTTCCTAAATACCCGAACACCACAAGTGCATTTCATAGGTTTTCAATCCGGTTCAGCAGGCCTATTCGTGACGAGGCATCGCTATCCCACGCCTTGAAAAAGAGTATTAATTTATTATTATCATATAGACAAGTAATCTAAGTCTATAAGATATAAATAGACTTAAGATATCTTTACTAAATTAAAGGTAGACATTACCAAGAATAATCGCCTTCACAGACTTATAGACCTTATCAACTGAATTCGCTTTAACGCAATTTCTAAAGCAGACTGTCTTTGACAAGCTAAAATTATATCATTTGATACCTTGTTACACAAAGATATAAAGCTATCAATTAACACTTAGATAGTATCTAAACCAAAATCCAATTCACATTTTCGTCCTCTATCAAATTCTAAATTAAAACATTGACATCAAAGCCAGTATGGCTTTGATGTCAAACGAGGCGAAAACAAAATTTAATAAAAAATGTAAGGCGAACTTTGTCATCGTTTTTGTTGTCCGTATGATACAACAGATGTGTCAACAACAGAACAGATCCTAAACAAAGACGAGGCAATTTTTATAACAAAATTAATTATTAATGCTTCGCCTACATCAACATTTTGGACGAGTTCAACGCCTTCCTCTTCCTAACACTTTTGTATTATGAAATTAGTATTCTTTTATACATTCACATCAAAGTAGTTTTGCCTACCTTTGTAATCAATTAGATTTATTAATTTTCCCTGACCTCGACTGTTTAATTAAATTGGCTAGAACCAAATGTTAGTTTAATTTGAACAATTTGTTTAATACATACTCGTCCTTTGAGAGGTTTCTGTGTTTAAATGTGAATGTTTAAGTGATTTTAGTTTGTGTACGATTATTTAAAATTTGCGGTACCATATTTAATTTGTCGACATTTATAAGTAAATGAATTTAGTTTTTAATTTTTAAGTACAGAGAAAGAAGCTAAACGAGGATTTTCAACAAATGTTAAATTGTGTTATATTTCACAGTTGGACTCAGCAGACGAACAAGCTGCAGCTATCAGAAGAGAACTGGATGGAAGGATGCAAAAAGTTAACGAAATGGAAAAGGTAATGATTAAAGAGGCAACAAATACTAACATTTTTAATATAAATGAAATTGATAACCATACTAATGATAATATTCTTGTAGAATCGCAAGCTAATGCCGAAGTTCGTGCTGAAAGAGATGGAATCACTGTACATCGAAGAGTTGAAGTCTTCAATCAACTTGCTGATGGCTAACTTGGAGTCATTGCCTGTCTCTAAAGGCGGCGCAGACTCCAAATATGGCCTCCATAAAATCAAGCGGTATAATCACAGGTCAGTGTTTTAGGATACGAATAAGTACCACATAATGTTACGAAATATTTCGGAAAACCTTTTGACTTATAAGAGGGATAAATATCATGTTTATTTGTTTATACAGCGTTAGTTATATTAACTTTTGGATTTTTGTCTTGAATACCATACACTGAATGCCATTTGACAAATAAATATGACTATTTGCCTAAAAACTCTTCATAATTATAAATTAGATTTTTAAAAATGGTTACCTTTCTTCAACAGGGTATAAGTAAATGTATCCTAAACAAATTTTCATCGAATTAGCATGTGTGTCATGCGTCGAATCGATGTCTATATAAAGTTAATGCTGTACTAAATGTGATCGATGTTTGCTGTAAAATACTTTTCAATTGCCAATTAATTATTCTGAGTTCTTTATGCGTATTTTGTCATCTTTTACATGTAATTTCTGTAAAAATCTGGAAATTCACTACTGAGTCCTTATTACTGAGAATAATTATTTGGTCATTCAATTGATCTTGATTGGTTGTTTAATAATTCTATAATAAATTGACCCATTTCATAAAATCCATAATAATTATGGATTTCCGAGCCTAAGATGCAAAGGAAATATCAGTATAATATTCCCTCTTAATTGATTTGATGATATTTTTTATTTAAAGATACTTTCTTTGCATATTATATGTGTGTGTGTATTTAGTGTATGTGTCTGATAATCAAAATTCTGAAGTACTCTTTCCAATTCAGCGTCTAATTACTTCATTTTTTTATTTACTTTATCCTGAATTGGAGGGTCTACCAGAAACCTAAGTGTCTAAAATATCATTAAGTTCTCTGCCATACGTTTTAAAACTGTCATTCTTAAACCAAGGCTTAATTCTGTGAAAATGTTATTATATTAGAATTGATTTAAATCCAAATGTATGGCAGATTCAAAATTCATTCGTGAACTAACATTTTCAATACCAATCGGAAGTCTGTTTTAATACTGAGTTACACTTCATTTTGTTCACTGTTTGTAATATTTGTTTCTTACTGACTATATCATCTGGATGCCACGTTGATAATACGATAAATATCATTTGTTTCCACTTCTAGTTTTAGTGTTTAAATACGTAATTTTGTTGTTATATTTTTTCCAGTTGATTTTTTCAATTAATATAATTAACTATCAGTTGCCCGTGATTTAAACACTAAAGACTACTTTCTGTTCTACCTTTTAAATACTCTAGACGTCCATCCAGATTCATTGTTTCTACTTGTTGATTTCTATTTGGTTTTTTTCTGTCCCTGGCACATAACTGGACGGTAATATTAAAGGAAGTACAAGTAATGAGTACAGAATTGATAATTATAAGCACGTGTCTTGTGTAGCAGGACCCCAACACATTCCCTACATTAATGATACAGTTTGCAATCCTAACGTTGTCAAAGGGACCACTGTAGCTAAGTAAAAGTAAACTAGAGTAGAGCTTACTGCTATTACCGACAAATTAGACCCAGAACCCGTGGTCCAATTCATAAAATTACAAAACTTATCAAAAGTGACAACAATGGAAAACAAAGCTTCCACAACACCGCCAGAAGTCTTTAATATGCTTATAGTAATAAAAAAAGTAGATAAACATTTTATAATTATAGTCTAAATAGCTACAGTAACACCTAAGCGTCAGCTTATTACTTAAACCGTAGATACAATACCCAAATGTAAATTTAAATAGTCTTGTAGGCTTTCAACTAATCCCACTGCTTTAAATTTTTGTTACACATAATTATCCTTTTATTATTATTTCATCTTATTTATATATTTTCGTCTTAAACTATACTCAAACTATAATGCTTTAAGCTTCGATAGGGCTTCGCTTTCTTTACATTTGTACCAAACATTTCATAACGCCAATCACGAGAGTTCAGTGAAACTTTGTACCAATAATATCGTTCCAAGCGGTTCCATTTTGTCCAATATTATACGCTTAAGAGAAACTTTAACCGTCTAAGTTAAATCGAATGGAATTCAGTCAACATGAAAGTGCACTATCGGATTTATTTCTTCGTCTCTAGCTTTATTTGTCTGACTTCTTTCGTTTCTACCACTGAACTCTCTAATTCATTCGCTTTTACATTATCTTATGCCATTTTATCAGTACTTTAGATATAGATGATATGTGTTCCGACCGTATTTGTAATGTTACCCTTTTGTATGCTTAATCATTCTTGGTATCGGTGATGGGTTCTCACAATGTATGCCACCAATCATTCCCACGGGCTTGTGAATGAAATGTCGCTTCCCTTTTCCTAATAACTGTGAATATGTCATTACTAACTTCTAATTCATGTAATTTATTAAAAATGTAACAAATTTCTAAATGTGCGTCAATCATTCGATTAATAATATGTAAATATTTTGAGGAATTAAATTCGTGGTGGAATTTTTTGGTGGTGGTATTTTGAAATATTTTGTTGATGGTGATTAGGTCGAATGCCGGACCAGATCCGAGTCCAAGGTTGAGTAAGCAGCTGTGTTTCAGATCGCAAGGCTCGCTTGCCAACAAGTTGACGGGTGAGGCAGATGGCGGTGACGTCGACACTCAACTCACGAAAATGGATGTTGTCCTAACGTTTCAAATAGAGGTAACGTTTAAGGATGACGGAAAATTTCAATTAAATGTATTCAGTAAAACGTTGATATGTGTGTACGGTTGAAATTTTTTTTACACGTTCGATCATGATTTTTATCCCAATGGAAATTATTTAGTACAAATTTGTAATTTGGTGTTAAATTGTTATACTAGTTATTTTATTTCATCTATCAAATAGATAAGACTCCTTTTGTATACATTCTGATAATTTTGTTCACTTAAATAATCTTGTCGTAGTTAATGCACTTCAACTTTCTTATTGAAACAAAATTTTTGATCGGGAAGATATTCATGAACTATTCTTTAGCAAAATCTATCTATTTATACTAAAATTAGTTATTATGAGTGTTTATACAGTTTACATTGAATAATATTTATGCGCAAAGCAGTAGGTTCCTCTTAAAGTTATCTTACAACTATATTATCAATAACGGCCTGTTGTACTGCACCATTTTCATTTGCCTTATTCGAATAGGTCCTTTTAGCACCCTGTCTATCTATGTAAGTAGATTTGGTATGTATATTAGATAGCACAAATGTTATATTATCACTTTTGTCAAGGGATTGGTAAATGGATATACTTTTTCTCATAATTGTCATCATGCAAAACAAATTCTAGGTGGTTGTGATGGAGGTGAAGGGTCTCAAGTCTTTAGCACCAAATAGAATAGTTTATTGCACTATGGAAGTGGAAGGTGGAGACAAACTTCAGACTGATCAAGCAGAAGCCTCTAAACCTATGTAAGTGAACTTTTTTTGAATATCAATTACTGAGTGAGACATACTAAATTTATAGAAACGTTACGACTTACTTACGTTAATGAACTGAGAAAAGCTCTACTAGTTTCAAGTCACAACACGACTCTTAATCATGAGCAAAGACATCGTAAGTCGTAATTTTCAATAAATTTCGTAAAATCGTAAGTAAACTTGGATAAGATAATTCGGAAACTTTTAAGCGTGGTATGATTTTCCTTGAAAGGTCGCCTTTGTGACTTCGAACTAAGTATATGTAATTATGCAAAACTGAGGGATGAGTTGATAAAGCGTAAGGGATAACAAAAACATGCTTAATTACTTTTGTATTTACATACAATATTGGATGTCGTAAAAACAAGAAGTATTGAGAACTAAAATACATACCTTGCAAACATTTTTTTAAGTCAGATGTCTGCAAACGACTATACGTAATATGTGCCACCCATGGACACTCATAATACCAAAGGCTAACTACAAGTTAATAGGGAGTTAATGATAAGGGATTTGGGGATTCAGGATGGGGGGGAGAGATGGATTGTGCCTCTAGGTAACACATGTCAAGACATAACGCAAGTGTTGCTTCACGCCGGTTTTCTGTGACGCCGTGGTATTACTCCGATCGAGCTGGCTTAATTGTACACACACATATAAACATGTTTCTATATCAACCAGGTGGGACACACAAGGTGACTTCAGCACGACACAGCCGTTGCCTGCAGTCAAAGTGAAGCTTTATACGGAAAACCCCGGAGTTCTGGCACTTGAAGACAAGGAGCTCGGCAAAGTAGTCCTTAGGCCGACACCTTTATCTAGTAAAGTGAGTAATTATTTCATAAATATATAAAAGAAAACAAAATTGACTTAGAAAAATCCAATATTATTTAAAGGAGAAGAACTAATGACAGTCTTTTGAAACAATTGACTACAAAAATATCGATGTTGTTTTTAGGTACCCGAATGGCATCGTATGACAGTACCGAAGAATCTACCAGATCAAGATTTAAGAATCAAAATTGCGTGCAGAATGGACAAACCACTTAATATGAAGCATTGTGGGTAAGTAAACTTATAAAACAGAAGTCTTTAGTTAGTAGTCTTATAAATTAGTAGGACCAAGCTCGTTGCCTTGTGGAACACCTAAATTTTTATTTCATGCATTAAAATAAATCAATTTCTGTGGTGATTTTAAAACGATTTAGCAAAGTCAAAAAATATAGGATTAATATAAATATGAGTTAGACATGAATCCTAATAAAATATTGCTCTTTTCAGTTACCTTCACGTTATCGGCAAAAATGTTTGGCGTAAATGGAAGCGAAGATACATGGTACTCGTACAAGTCAGCCAGTACACGTTTGCCTTATGTTCATACAAAGATAAGAAATCAGAACCGGCTGAAATGATGCAGTTAGACGGATTCACTGTGGACTACATTGAGCTTGCAAGCGGTACAGTACTCATTTCTATTATTAACTTGTTAATTGTTCTAAAAGTTTTAACATCTACTCTTTTGCCATTATTGTCTTTTAACTTCTTGATTAATTCAAGTGTAGAAACAACATTAACTACTTCTGTTTTCTTTTGGTATTGTGTATATTATTGTCTGTGTACTAAAATTTTGTCCTTTGTCTTACAGCTCAGCTGATCGTCGGACAAGGTAAGGCAAACAAGAAAACAATAGGTAATGAACATTTTTGTGATTATTATTCTTTACATTTACCATTTTCTTTCTCTATCTTTTGCTTTATCCTGAAGTTGTCTTTTCATCAAGTGTGTTCGTTTGGTTAATTTGTAGCAATGGTGATCCATAGGTGAGACCAATTGGGTTCGATTCCCGGATCAGACAATGATTAATGAGTATTTTTTAATTTGAACCTCTTGTCATTGCCGGCTTATATGTATTTACAGTTTCAAAATAAAATGCAAGTTTAACTTCAATCAATGGAAAGACAACTTTATAAACCTGTACCAAAATAGAAATTAATTAACCGTTTGATTTTAAATATAGACAAGGTCGCAAAATTTTAGGTTCGAAGCCTAATTTAGATTCAAAAACTCATGTTTCATACCATCTATTATAAGAACAACAATGAAACCCACGCTTTCATAAAGTTGATTAAAATATTGAAAAACCTTATTGCCAATTTCAAACAACTTTCTCTCAATCTTAACCTAGACAGTGTCCTCATTAGTTGAAAATCTGATGGAACTACCATTTTTAATTACTTTGCAGAATTGGAAGGTGCTAAATACTTCATGAATGCTGTTCGAGATGGTGAATCAGTTCTAATGGGAGTGACAGATGAAAATGAGTGTCATCTATGGGTCATGGCGTTGTATCGAGCTACAGGACAAAGTCATAAACCGACGCCGCCAACTACTTCAGATACGCACCATAAAATTATGGGAGGTTAGTTAATAAGCAATGACGAACAAAAAGGCATGAGATGAATTTTTTAAGGCGCTCAAGGAGTATGTCATTTTTTAAAAGGTCTTAAAAATATAAATGTTCGACAGAATGTTTTACGATAGGCAGTTATGTAGGTGATACAAAAAAAAAACTAGATCAAGAGACTGTTCCAAAAAAACTCCAAAATACTGTTAATTTTTAAAAATATCTTTAAAAAAATATTAGTTCAAACCATATCCACTGAACCATTTTATATCTTTTAGTTTGGAAAAACCAAAGCCATGATATAGTTAAAGGAAAAATCCTATTAATTAGCCATGTCGTCTCTTAGGTACTAAGAGCTTAGGCTCTACTCAGTCCACCTATAAAGTGCAGGCCTTGTGGCCCACGTTGTTTCCAAAAAATACTTACTGGAGCTTTTATGTTATCAATTTTATCATCAATAGTAGCCTCTATTGAATAAATAAATTGATCTGATATCTTATCAGAATTTATCTCTTTAACTGCCGTAAGTTTGACGTCATTCTTATGGTTAACGTTACTAATTAATTTGAGGTTTACTATCATCCTATCTCTGGAAAGTTTCGGATAGGGCAACAAATACTATGTATGGTTTTCTTTTATAAATGTTTGGTAACTTTTATTGGGTACTTATATCACATCATGTATCTATCTTCCACAACAATTAGTTTTCTACATTTAAAATAATCAACAAGAATTCTACAAACGAGATTATTTATAATTGCTTTAATTCATTTTTTCAAGTTATTAGCTTTCAAAAGATTATCAATACCAAGGATTTTTTAAAGTCAAATTCTAATCATTTTTATAAATTAATCGGGCACCCTTGAAGTTTGTGTTCGTCGTAGTCATTGTTTTATTATTTATTATTAGATTTGTCGTATTCATATTTACCAAAAGCTATAACAATAAATTACAATTTCAGATGCTGACAAAGCACGCAAACATGGCATGGAGGATTACATCCAAGCAGATCCGTGCCAGTACGATCATCACCAGCTGTTCTGTGTGCTACAATCTTTAACACTGAAGTATCGTTTGCAAGATCCATATTGTTCTCTGGTAATACGTCAATTTTTTTATAAAACATAACATTATTTTTTTCTGAAATACGTAGATGATACAAAAAAATTGATGATTTATCACTTTGAAAAAATGACGTTACATGCTTTTCTACAAATGTTTTCAGGGTTGGTTTTCTCCGGGCCAAGTATTTGTCCTTGACGAGTATTGTGCGAGATATGGCGTGAGAGGCTGTTTCAGACATCTTTGCTACCTGTCAGACCTACTCGATGTTGCTGAGAGCGGGTCACAAACCGTGGACCCCACACTAATGCATTACTCCTTCGCTTTCTGTGCCAGCCACGTCCATGGTAACAGGTAGGTAGATAGCTAAACTTTTGTAAAAATGAAGTAGAAGATTCAAAATGAAAAAATTGAGATGAAAAATCAAATAATTCTGTGGAAACTATTGTAATCGACAATGATGATAATATTCAAAATCAGAAAATTGGCTGCAAATCGTACATTATCAGATTATTATGTAAATAATAATCGAAAAATTGCTGTAAATAACACTGTTATTAAAAACTTGACGAATTTGGTTTGCGAGATTTCGAATTTTTTTGAAGAGTTATCTGAATATAATGGAATAGTTAAAAAATTTAAAAATGTAGCCATTGTATTATATAATATTTGATGTAAAAATGCATTCGTAGTTAAATATTTGTAAATATATCAGGTTGGTATGGAATGGTAAATGTGTTAGATTTGGTGTCCCACAAGGCGATGTACTAGGTCCGCCACTGAATGTGAATGTGATTTAGCAGTGATCTATGGATAGAAAAAGAAGCTGTATTTGACTAATTGCTTAAAACAATTAGAACACAAACATTATCTATCACATTAATTGGAATATTAAACAAAACTCTACAAAATTTCAAATCACTGTACATATAATTAATTTTGGTCTTCAGTAAAGCGTTCGTTGACTTCGAACTTGGCATTTTTCAACAAATATAGGATTACAGATGTCAAAAACAGCTTCGTGTACCAGAATTAGTAATAAACCACGACCTATCTAACCTATGCCTCACCTGAGTGTGATGTTGCTTCTATTAGTACTTACCTTTACTAACTGACTATGCAACCGTACTTAATGTGCTTACTAACTATGCCTGCTTTACCTTACTAATGTATTTTCGGGCTTTTGGAGTCAGCAGTTCAGAAAAAATTAAACAATTTGTATAAAACTTTTTGGAATACATTGTTTGAAACAAAATACAAAAGATTACGATATATTAAAAGTACGAGTCATAATGCAGCCCGTTGAATTCTTAACATAAAAAATTATAAAAAAATATCCAAAAAAAATAACGAACAAAGAAGAATAAAACATATAATTTAGTAACAAGAAAAGGCAGAGAAACAACATAACCAAAGCACACTCTTCCTGAATAAACACAAACAAAGAGAAAAATTAAACAAACTGAATGAAAAAGCAATACAAACAAACGCATCAAAGAAGGCAGAGGACCAACAAAATTAAACCAACACTCTCCCTTAAAATAAACTAGAATGTAATTATGTAAATAGATATACTTAGTTAGTAGTTAAGCTGCTGATTTCACAGCCTACCCTATATCCCGCTTGTGCCCAACTAGAGTAAGCCCTACGCCGGAAGTGGTTCACAGTACAGCGACGTTGACTGGCAGGCCGGACGGGGTAGGCAGCATCACAGTGCAAGAGAAAGAAAAGTTTGCGGAGATAAAGGAAAGATTGAAGGCGTTGTTGCAGCATCAGATCACTAACTTTAGATATGCGTTCCCATTTGGACGGCCCGAGGGAGCGCTTAAGGTGAGTTAAATATAAATACAAGAAAGTGTCAGAATCCAGATTTTCTGTTGTGATTGTTTAGTGAAAATGACATACTTACTTAACTTATTCTTAAAATTTGTTCTAAAGTCTAATTTGTTATGATCACATCATATCTTCTTAAATATATTTAGGTTGAAAATAAAGAAACCAAACGAAAGAAATTTAGCAATTAAAACATTTTCCAGGCCACACTATCTCTCCTTGAAAGAGTGTTGATGAAGGACGTGGTAACTCCAGTTGCGCCAGAAGAGGTCAGAGCTATGATACAGACCAGTTTGGAGAATGCAGCCTTGTTGAACTATACACAGCTTAGTCAGAAAGCTAATATCGAAGGTAGACATGATTTTCCTTTTACACACTGACAGTGAAATTGTATATATACTATATAATTTCAAGAACTAGCTAGTGCAGTTTCTAGATGAATAACATTTGATAGAACACAATCTTTTAGTAACAACTGTATTTGCTGGAAAAGTAAATCATACATCAATACAATTTTTCTTTGCAATTTTTAACAGTCATTAAAAAAGCAAATTTCTAAAGATGTTATTAGGTATTATAGTGATGGATTTTTTGGCTAGGCAGAAGATAAAAACAAAGAAAAAGCTTTTGATTTATTTGTGTCCTTTAGGTCAACATATAACATTTCCCTTACAGAGGATCTAAGAGGAGAAACAATGGTTACACCAGCGAAAAAATTAGAAGATCTCATACATTTAGCAGAACTGTGCGTAGATCTGCTTCAACAAAATGAAGAACATTATGCAGAGGTAACGTAATTGCACGGTATATTTCAACGACTCCAAAAAAATACAGGTTTGAGCTTAACGTTGATGTCAGTGGAGTCTTTGGAAAACCAGCAAAAATATATCGTCAAAGTTATGCTCCTTAATGTTTGCCTCAATATGTTTATGTCTATCCTGAATGTCGTGGTTTCTGTTTTGACAAAACCTTTTAATACAACTTAATTTGTAAAACCAATTTTAATTCGTTTACACCCAGTGACTTTTATACGTACTGTAGAATTAAATGTAGTAAAATGTTTTGTCATTGTATCAATGTTGACTGGATAGCATCCTATTCTCCTGTCGCTATTAGTGTGGGGAATGTCAGGCAGTATATTATTATTTATTTCAAAAGGTTGGAAAGAAAATTCTGCATTTTCATTTCAATCAACGGTACACGATGTTTTTTCTACAGTATCTAACTTTATACGTTAAATAAATCTTCATCATCGTGTACTTTATTATTATTACTTTAGTATTGAAAAGTATTTTTGTTTTCCTAAATTATATATTTTATGTCGCTTAGTCGCCGAGTGAATGTTATAATGGTTCACTTCCCGACGTTTGATGTTCGCTAAGTATTAAACTATGTCTTTTATTATCCACTTCTATCTTATATTTTATTTCTCCGCAGGTTTATAACACAAAACCGGACTCTAGCGGTCAACAAAATGTAACTACTCATGAATTTGATTTGCTCGGCTGAACGAATCACTTGTCAATTGTTTGTTCACTTGATCTTGGTCATACTTCACATTAATTGGTTTGATCACAATATAAAAGGAGTAGACTTGACAAACGATAGTTTAACTCGCTTGGGCAAATGCTTTAATATTACTTCGATAGTCGAAAGCATTGCATGAATTACGAATGATTTAGAAAGATTTTGATTGACTAAGATCGGACTTTTCATTATGGGCTCAAATCAAAAAGTGTTTTCTTTAGAATTCTTTACCAAAACCAATTGGCAGGGTTTTAAGTCGTATATGTCTGCAATGAAAAGTGAATTTTGTATATTTTTCTTACAGTCTACTCCGAACTTCGACTCACAATACATACATTAGTTACAGGAACAAATGCTTCTACATAACATACTAGGACATACGACACATATAGCACAATACAACAAATTTTCTTTTCTGTAGAGCGCTATATTTTATTATTATTTATACAAATTTCTATGCTTACATTCTGCTTATTATTGGTGTTTGAATCGAAAATAGTTTGAAGGACAAAATTTGATTTTAAATAACACTAAGCTGTAAAAACCTTACATTTAAAGGCTGTTTTCGTTTAAGCACTACCTCCTTTGTCCACCACAGTACCTACACATTTAGATATCTTCAGTACATTAGGCATTGCACATACCATATTATACTCTACTAGTTTCTATACTCTATTCTGTCCAGCTTCTAGTGTGTGAACTAGACTTGTCCTATCACTATCTTGTATTGTATCTTGCATGTCGTCCTTGCGTTGTAGTGTGATATGAATATCAAAATATTTGTCAATTTTCTTTAACAAATATTTTGAATCCACCCCTAGGGTACATTTTGTAGCCAAATTATTTTTAAGTCCTACTATTTGTATTCTACTAGGTTTTACTTCTATTTCAACAAATATGTCTACATGACCGTGTTCTTTTATTTAAAGGGCATGCTATCTAATGCATTTGACGTGCATTTTGTACTTTTGATTCAAGACATCTTTAATGGCACTTATTTTTTGCCAGTAATATTTTTTTTAATGTGAATGATCAAGTTATTTTAAACAAATTACTAAATGAAACTGATCTCTTTCTAAAAAATAAAACATGATCAAATAATGTAAATAACGCTGTCTGATAATAAAAATCTTACTTGTGTACTATTGTTACTATTTAAACCAGTTTTTTACTTTGGATATTTTTAGAACCTTCTTCAAGTGATAGTATGACTTTATTATTAAAAGCACCGTCAACATCTGTGTACAGGCCTTCGCGTGGTTTTCTGAGCTGTTGGTTGAGCATGCTGAAATCTTCTGGGCGTTATTCGGAGTAGACATGGACAGGGTGCTAGCTGAACAGCCCCCAGACACCTGGGATTCCTTTCCTTTATTCCAAATCCTTAACGATTATTTGAGAAGTGATGGTGAGTCTCAAAAGATTTTGATTTCCAAATCCAATCTTTGGCCATCTCGTTTCGTCTAACGACGTCTTTTTCTCTTTTTCACTTTCTTATCTAGTCAACAATTACTCTTTTGTCCAATTTTCTTTAGCGGTGTCGGTTATTCATGGTTGAGATGTCCTTCGATTCGGAATTGATTATTGAAAACGTGCCCCGTCATGGGGTCCATCTTACATAGCTGCGGTTGTACAATGAACTTCCGACGTCCCGTGCTACGGGTCGAGTCTCTATAAACAAAGCATAAGCAGATGGAATTATATCATAAGATATTATTTATAAAGCCTTTCATAACGATTAGTTTTACAGATAAACCGAAAGCTTATTAGCCTTCTACTCTATTCCGACCTACGATTTGTAGAAAGTGTCAAAAAGCATTGCAGCTGCTTTTTTACGTGTATAATTTTATTTACATTTAAATTTTCCTTCTTGGAATATGTTTTTTTTAATTTCTCTTCTCTTTCTTTATTGTCTTATGATGTGAGAAATCTTTGGGAGTTTTGGAAGTTTCTTAAGGACAAAATTCTACTTTCCTTCAATCCCGAGTTAAATGACATCTCAATGAAAGGTAGGTATTTACGACGCTGCTAAAACAGTTGGACAAAAGAGCACTTGTTCACTAGACTTTTCTTCTTCTGATTCTTTTAAATGTTGTGTCAATTGTAAAGTTAACGTAGAGAAATGTTTTCTGATATTTGTTCAAATATTGAATTTGGAATACTTTGTCTACATATTCCAAACGTTTCCTTTCTATTTTCCGTAAAGCTCCTTTTGTCTCATCGCCAGAAAATCTAAAAGGTGGCAGGTTTCATGAGCATCTACGGGACACATTTGCTCCCCTTGTTGTGAGATATGTGGACTTGATGGAGTCCTCTATAGCACAGTCCCTTCACAAAGGTTTCGAGAAGGAAAGGTGGGAGATCAAAGGGTAAGGATTAATCTTTTGTTACTATAACCCATACCGTAAGTTTTTATCTACTTTCAATACTTAATTACAAAAGTCAACGCCTACGCAATCCATGAAAATATGTAAAAAATAGAGATCATAACCAAACATTTTATCTGTTTCGAAATCAAAATGTAACTTGAAACCTCGTGAATGATATCACTGTCATAGCATGGAATCATAAATCACTGCTTTTGTTGCAAATGTGTATATGAAACCGTTGCATCTTCATGTAAATGAAAGATCTGTTGCATTCAAACAGACAGCCGAACATACAAGACATTGTTTATTGTAAGATTGCCTCATAACTCTATCACAATTTTCCATAGTAACGGCTGTTCTACAAGCGAGGAGCTGTTCTGGAAGCTGGATGCATTGCAGTGCTTCATTAGGGACCTCCACTGGCCGGAGCCGGAGTTCCGGTCGCACCTTGAGCAGAGGTTGAAGCTGATGGCGTGCGACATGATGGAGACATGCATACAAAGGACCGAGGCATCGTTCCAGGTGAGAGAATTCAAGACCAATCAGTTTGGGAGACAGAAACAACTTATATCTGGTTGCACACATAAGTGTATTTTAAGTGTGGGAGTGCCAAGCTCCGGCACGAATGGGTCGACTAGACCGGAGTGATACCCCGTCCTCACCGAAAACTGACGTGAAACAACCACAGACTTTTGTTTCTCCGTGTGAGTGAGTTTACTGGAGGCCCAAACACTCCCCCTCCCCCATCCCTTCTCAATCCTCAAATATCCGAAACCTTTATCCCTAAAAGGCCGGCAACGCACTCGTTACTCCTTTAGGTGATGCGGGCGGCGCTGATTGCTTACCGTTCTAAAACCTATACCATATACCATAAAACGGTATGACCTATACCATAAAAAAACTTTTGTTTAAATCGGGGTCCCTATCTTTGTTCTAGTCGTGGCTGAAGAAGAGTGTCACCTTCATGTCGACGGACTACATCCTGCCGGCGGAGACGTGCGCCATGGTCAACGTGGCTTTGGACGCTAAGAACCAGGCACTGAAGTTATGCGCAGTTGAAGGGGTAGATATTGTGAGTACTTACATCTCTCTTTACACAGGTACTGGTGGTGGGAATAGCGAACAAAATTATGTGGATTATGGCAATGCTAAAGAAATAGAATCTAAAACCATTTCAGCCAATTAGAAAGAAGATGTAGAACTGTATATGAAACAGAAATAAATAGGTTGAGAGCTAAGCGATATACTTACTTAAGACATGATCACAGCAAACGACATAGAGCATACAATAGCATAAGTCATGGTGGATATCGATATAAAACCAGCCAGTAAAAGAAAATCGAGAATCATAAAAGATCACAAATCATGAATGCCAATGCCAAACACATGCTAGATCATAAACCATGAAAAATAAAAGTAAATATAACGGCCAGACCCGGCCTTCAGCTTTCATAAAGTATTCGGTCCATCGACAGCCTCTTAAGACTCCTCTTCAAATATTACTAGATAAGGGCACAATACTTTCAAACCCTTATTTATTTGAATGGGAAGTTCTTGAGGAAGCCAACAAAAGTGCGCTTACAGCAAAAAATGCCGCCATCAAACATCGGCTTTTGTATCATGCAGAACATCGAAAAAATGCTTCACCATATTCTAGACTTCAGAATTTTTTAGACAAAGGAGCATTTAAATCTTGGAGCATCAAGATTTCTGACTAATTATAACTCGTTGGTTGAGTTAAACATGAGATGGATTATGGAAAGAGAATCCAGGAAAAAGATTGGCAACGCTTATAAAAGAATAGGAAAGAAATAGCTACGCTTTTCTGACAGGGCGAAAATTTTTAACGAAACATCTGACTTCGACATTCAGCCGCACTACGAAACCACTACCATCGCCACTCTAGAACAACATCCCATACCACGGACCCACCCGAATTATGAAGCAGCTGATGTATGTAAACTGACAACTTCTTGCATGCTGTTCCCAAATCAGCTTAAACAATTGGATTGCATGTCAAAACAAAATTCACTTTCGCTAATCTGGCTCTTTCGTCGATGATGTTTTTAAGTTGTTCCTTACCATTAAGTAATCTGGAAAGAAAAAAAAACATTATCAAGGAAGTCTTTTGTTCAACATTTAGTAACGACGAATTACTTTTAGCATCAATCCAAAAGCTTCGAACCTAGAAGGGTTTATTCCAAATCTATTCACCTGGAATCTAAGATATCCATTCAAGAATGTTCTTAATATGATGTTCATATCCACTTAGTCCGATAGCCCTTCCTTGTTCCTTACTTTTGAGCCGGCCCCGAATCTGGCATGGCTAATAAAGATGCCTCCACTACGTTCAAGTGTTTGTGAGGATCGGAATTTTTAAATTATAAGCAGTTTTATATATGCTTTCAAAACTTTCGAACGTAATGGATCCACGCCACAAACTATTTGTCTCCTTAGGGAGGGTTATGAATGCATGTGCACGCATCTTAAATGTTTATCACGACTTGGAGATATTTAACTGTTCATCCCAGTTTCATATCTCCAATATGTTTGAACTCGCTGCATCTCCCCGTCCACTGTCATGGCTGACAAAATGCAAGCACGAGGCAAATTAGATGTTGCCGTATGTTTGACGTTGCAATAATTGTAAATGCTCTCGAAATTAGTTGATGCCATAAGGAAATGCATTGCAATTGTTTTCAAAATTCAAAATTTTGGCAGTTAGGGGTCAACTAAAATCTCTAAAACTACATTCATGTAGCTTCTAAACAAATAGAAATGGAACTGTACTAGATATTAATCATCATTGTTCGTTTATCAAGGAATAATGATGTGATTTCAAACTTCAAAAACGACCCCCAAATTGGCGACACGATAGCACTAAATTTTATGTGAAAAGCAAAGTTTTTGAAGCGAATAACTGACATGTTAACAATGTCTTACGGAAATGGCTGTGCGGATTAGAGTCCACGCTTTTGTACGTCTCCCGGCTTATTTAAATGTTCTGGAATGAATTTTAAAGGGAAGTTTATAGACTTCTTTAAATGTGATCTTCTACTGCATGTGCAGAGAGACTGGTTGTCATTCAGTGCTCGTTTCGAGACATGAGCTTATTGTGTTCACTGGATTAACTGGAGCGACGTGCATTTATCTGATTGGCTGACATTTTATCAATGGCAAAAACTACAAATTAGGTTCACGTCCAGAACTACAGCTTTGTCTCTTTTCGAGAACTGGAATTATTCTGAATTCGCTAGCAAGTCCTTCTTTCTAAAACCAGAAACCAACTCAAATGTTATTCGAGCAAATCATTTGAACTTGCTATCGGATTCCAGAAATCGTTATTGTTGATGTTCTTGGAAGAAGTTCTGCAGAACAATTATGGCAGCTACCTACATTTGAAGAAGACATGGAACAATTTAATCCACTAATACACTGACACACCTGGCCATACAAGAATTCATTGTATTCCTTTTTCTCCCCTCTAGTACCAGTATCACACCAAGATGGACGCGCAGATTGAAGCCTGTCTCCAAGGCATGGCATCCGGGATGACCACGAGATTATCTGCAGTGCTTGAAGCGACGCTTGCTAAGATCGCGAGGTTTGATGAAGGAAGGTGAGTTGTTTAAAAGACCCTGTCCTACATCTGGCACGTTTACGACTGCAGACATTTTTGTCTCCAGCCGGGGTTGCGGGGTAAGCGCAATGAGGCACCGCGACTTCGGCCCAGAGCAGGAGAAGGAACAGGGGGGTTTTTAGTCAGTAAGAGTCTGACACTCCCTCCCGCCCGGCCCTGGGCGGGAGAAGTCATTTGATGATATTCCCATCACAAAAAAAAACGTTAATTCTCCAAATTTTCAGATCACTCCACTTATGACAACTAAGCTGTTGGAGATAAAATTACTTTAAGATTATCTGGAACCACATGATGAGTGCAACTTCTCCTTTAATTTTTCAATATTCGTCCTAATTGGAATAAAATGTTCTGTTGTTTATATATAACTGCTATGCCCCAATCAGCTATACCTAGCTGGATATACCTAGAAACAAGCGTTTTCAGCTTATCAATGTTCTTTCCCTTCAGCTTGATCGGCTCCATCCTGACAATAGCCAACGTATCAGGATCAGGCAAGGACATCGGCCAGGGTTACGTCAACTTCATGAGGAACTCTATGGATCAAATAAGATCGAAGGTATGTTGTTTATATATTTTAAGTAACTCGAAGCTACCATGTTATTTGCTACACAACTCCTTGTTTCCGTAGGTATCTTAAAAGCCAACTAAGGTATTACATATCAAACAGTAACGATCTCATATAAATCTGAACCTTTTAAAAACTGCGAACCCCTATCCGCCTACCAAAATTTAAGACTATGACAAACTCTTTTTTGTGCAGATTAAGCGCATAGCGCAAAGAGATAGAATCACCGGTGTTTAAAAGGCAATTCTTTTTTAAACGGCTCGATCGGAGTGGTACCACAACAGCCATATGAAAAACCGGCGTGAAACAACGCTTGCATTATGTTTCTCTAAATCCCTAATGTATCCCTAAATCCTTGAACATCAAACCCCTAAGCTCCAAACACACTTGCAATTCCACTGGTGCGTTGCGAATTTCCATAGGCGGTACGCTTACCATCAGGTGATCCGTCTGCTTGCTTGCCTACTTATAGCATCTGCATTTACATCTTAAACATTAACTCTGCTACTTAACTTCAATAACCTTAATATAATATTTTTCCAGGTTACAGATGAGCTATGGATCCTTCAGCTGTTTGAACAATGGTACGGGATACAGGTGGGACTGATCAACACTTGGCTGGCTGAGAGGCCTGCACTACATCCACAGCAAGTCGCCTGCCTTTCTATCATTTTGAAGGTAAGTAAATTGGGTAGTTTCAATGTTCAAAAATAAATTTATTCGACGTTACAATACAATAAAATATTGAAAAATAACTATACTTTTATTCATCGATCGCTCGATACTTAATATTTGATATTTTTTAGCTAATTTTTAAGAAAAAAGTAAGCTATTTGACTCAAAAATACTATGACGTCATAACTCTCAGTGTTTCATACCAATATAATAGAAAAGTATAGTTTTTGACATTTGGATAAAAGTATTGAATTTGCCTAGTTGGCAACTACCGTATTGTAATATATTTAAATACGGTAAAGCTAATTCATTTTTAATTATCACTAAGGTATTTAAAATTAAAATATACACGTAAAATTTTTGATAACGAATATGTTCGTTTGTTATTTATTTGGTCAAACAAAACAAAACTTGCAACACTTTATGTCATTTCCCTAAATAATCATTAATGTTACCATATATGAAAATTTTGCCCGAAAACGGGGAGAACATACAATATTCTAATAAAGATCAATTTTAGATTTTTAAATTGTTATTTTTATTTGGCACCGATCTTGTATTAACAAGTATGTATTTTTTTTTTTCTAGAAAATGTACAGCGATTTCGAACTGCAAGGCGTGATCGATGACAAGTTAAACTCGAAAATATATCAAAATGTGGCAGCGAGGATGCACACGGAAGAGGCTACATGCAGTTTGCTGCTTACACAACAAGATGCTGGGTAAGATAGATTTTGTTTAAACGGTTTATACAGATCATGACAGTAAGTAATCGGCACCGCCTATGAACACCCGCAACAAAACAGGAATCGCAAGTGCATTGGCCCCCTTTTTGGGGATAGGTATTTGAGGATTGGAGAGTTTGGAATTTTGGGAGAGATTATGGCTTGGGCTTCTTATAACCTCAGTCACATGGTGTAATAAATCGTAAGTGTTGGTTTATGCTAGTCTTGCTAGTGTAGAGTGTAGGAATATTGTTAAAATCAACAGTCTGTTCCATGCTGAACTGAGGGCCTCTTCTACAAGAGAAGGCTTTCCATAATACCCGCACTGGGCCAAATGAGTTAGATATCGCAGTTTTATAAGCTCAGGTGTAACCAGAGAGCGCTAAGTCCTGGTCTCTATCTAACGTGTAGTCCAATTACTATCTATAAAAGTGGAGTTATAATGCCAAATGCATTTTTTACTACCGTCACAGCAAGATGGATCTAGTACACCTAAGTTGTAAAGCCGTTAATGCACTTCAACGTATGAGATGATTTAACAGCTTGGCAATGGTCCCGAATGTTGTTTTAGAGTATAACTAAATTTATTACTTCCAAGGTAATCAGCATATGTCACGTTTATTATGTAGGTATACTAAAATAAAAAAACCAAAAGTCTACGACAAATGCTTAAATGACGCGAGAAAAGATCTCTGTAAAATCTTGTAACTAATTAATTTATACCAATTGCAAGGTATTTCTATTTATTTATATTTCTTATAATTTCATAACCTTAAAATCTATCTTATTACAGAGGCGGCGATGACGGTGGTTCAGAGGAAGGTTCCAGGAGTGGCAAGTCGAAACTTGAAGCTCTCACTGAGGAAGCCAAGCTTGGAAATGTTACTGCTGTTGTTGGAAAGGTACGAAACTTGTAATTTCACCAGTCACCTCAAATTTCATTGTCACTAATATTTATGTGTATATCAGGAAACTTTATTATTTTGTTAGCTATCACGTTGATTCGAATTGTGAATAAATGTTTCTATGTGAGTAGTATATGTTCCTATAGTCAATGATATGGAGAGGTTTGTCTTTATGGAAAAATTACTTATTGCAAGTAGTACTTTTGGGTTTATAAATAAACTTTACTACAATGTAACAAGGCGCCTGCTACTTTTGAAAAAGCAATGCTGCTTCTCAGTGCTTTCGCCATTCTACCTACTTTATTTTAGCTGTCCAATCCATCTTGATTACTGGGAGAAGGCCTTTCCTCAGATGTGATCTAATGATGATTATGATAGGGTAAATGTTGAAATAGCTCCATAATTAGTAAATGGACAGAATAAAAAGTATAGGGATCCATGTTTCGGCCAAACTTAAACCTTTGTTTTTTCTGTGAGGCTGCCTCACATAAAACCGGCCTGAAACAATGCTTAGTTGTATTTATCCTATGTACCTATCGTATGTACTGAAGTCTCTTGCATCCCCATCGCGAAGTAGTTTTTACTGGTTCTGGTCAATCTAGTGATGTAAAGCCTTACTTATTTAAATAACATCATCACATCAGCCCATAAATGCCCTCTGTTAATCAAAGGTCCCTTCTTTCATGGTGACGGTTTGCGCATTATTCACCACGCTTTCTCAAGGGTTGTTTTAGGGGCGAGAATCACTAAGTGAGAGGGAGTGCCAGACTCTTATTCATCAAAGACTACTCGGTCCCTTCTTCTCCTGTATAATGAGAAATTATGAGTCCAGGTTTTCCGCACGATGTTTTCCTTCACAGTTTGTTAGTGGTGTCTAAATATATTTAGAAAGTACGTTCATATAACTCGGATGAAGTCACATTAATTTTAGCCGGTTTGAATAATGCGTAAACTAAATTAAATTAGGTATTTACTATCAGTATATCTACCTAGTGACTTTAAGATCAGGTACATTGGAACTGTTCCAATTCTCAGCAAAATGTATTGGAATTCTGCTGTCAAACGGCTATGGTGACCTTTTACACTTCGGATAATACAAAGGTCATGATTGACTCACGCAAGACTGAGTGGGACCTATTGGATTCCTTTCTAAGCTATTTTTATAAATGTTTGAAGATCTCTTAACACGGTTGTAGTTCGCAATTCTAAGGTTTTTATATATTTCTTATTTTTTATAATGTAGGTACTACTGTATTGTGGGTTTGTTAATGTAACGTCACAATCAGGCATCGCACATCAATTTTTTTGATCACACGGAGAACAGGCCCGTGCGGTAGTCGAACAAACTTCGCGTTACGCGGCAGTCAGTTGGCCAGCCAAGGAATTCGTTCCGAATCCTTGGTTGGGTAAAATAGAGAAGGAATTGGTAGTTTTCCAACTACTGAAATTCTTTATTTCGTGTCTAGAATCTTTATTGACCCTTGCAAACTGGCTAGTCGTAATTTTAGGTAGCCTATACAATTTACAGTACTCTGTTGACATCTCCTAAGTAGTTACTTACCCATTTTCTCTCTTTTTTATTTCAGGTTGGCAACATCTTCGGTCGTGGTATTGGAGAACTGTCAACGAAGCTTGGCGGCGCATCGTCCTGGTTTTAAATACAATAAATATGTCATAAATAACATTTCTTTGCCTACGTCGATGTGAGATGAAATTACAAAGCTTTTTGTTAATGCATTAAGATTAGAATACAAGAAAATAGGTGCCTATAATAATATTAAATACATAATTTTTATCATAGTACAGTCTAAGATTCAGCAGTAACTTACAAATTAAATCAATCTCATTTTATTTTAAAAAGATTTTTAGCTAAAATATTTTAGTAAACATATTGCTTAAACTTAAAATAGGTCTATGATTCATGGATTAACAAAAAGCCTCACCTATTCTGTGATGATGATAAAACAATCGTTTGCATTCGATAAATAGAATGTACGCCATTTTGAATTATATAAATCACATCAAGATGGCGTCTTATGCGCTAGGTGTTAATCATAAGTGGCCAGTTAATCATAGCTTAGTGTGATTATAGTATAAACGAGGATTAGGTTTTGTTTTATATAAAAGGCTTTATGTACAGTTAGGGGATCATTATTCGTTTATTGGAAGCAAATAAAAAATGTATTACGTACGTGTGTATATTAAGAGTAGTATTTGATAAACACGATTCGAAAAAAATATAATATATTAAATTATTACGAACGCATACATACACAAAATGCTACAATAAGAAGACATATCGCTTTGGCAAAAGTTATATTCTGTTATATTTAACGCGATGTATTGTAATTATTTACAAAATTATATGTACTTAAAAAAATATTAAAACAATGGGGGGCGGGTTGTGAGTGTGTGAAAGTAAGGAATCCTTTCTCGATTTATCAAAGTTACGTTTTGTATATCTTTTAGGAGTTGTTATTATCTTCAAAGTGACTTTACTACATAGTTTCCTGCAAAGTCTTATATATTTTATTCACATATTTCATTCTATTTACGAGTGACAAGCACGCTAACATTAACAGCAGAGCAACGTTTTCAATGCAACTCTTTCTATACCTAAGAAACAGTATTTTTCTAATCAACAAATCCACTTTTTAAAACATCGGTTTGATCTCTTTAATAAATCTACAATGCATTTTTATAAAATACAAAATAGGCGCGATACAGCTTATTTATTTTTCGAATTCAAATATTGCAAGTAAAAATAAAACTCCCCGCTTTTTGGGTAAAACTTGTTTTTTATAAGAATGCATCTTTAAATTTACAACTTAGCCACTTTTCGCTATAGTATATTTATCTATATTTTAAAAGCTCTCTAGATCTAATGAAAATCTAGCGACACTTTACCTTGATTAGTCGTCAAAATAATACATAACTATTTACTAAAAAATACTATTAATAGTTATATTTGTTAACAAAATAATATTCTTCTACGCTAAACACCTTACAAATTTTTGAACTAGGAGAAAATTTAAAGTTCTTAGATGAAAGTTTAATGATTAATATAGCGGTTAGTCGCTATGCTGATTCGCCTTACTAATGTCTTGTTCGGAACGGCTTGGAAAATAGAATACTTGTCTTACTTTATTCTAAGTACTACTAAAACTATTTATTCTCACTTGATTTGTTCTTTCTATCATTATTTTGTTCATTGTTGGTTCAAAATTAAGCTTGGAAGCTTCGAAATTATATAAATAAGGATAAAATTACAAAATGCGTGTTCTAAATCAGATTAGTAGGCTCGTCGAGTTATTGAAAGTATATTAGAGATTGATAAAATCGCAGTATAATGAAATATTGAGATATTGACTGTGAATCCTAAAGTCCTGCACCGAACGACTTGGTATAGAGTTGAATGTAGTTATTCCCAATATTTTATCATAACACGAAATTATATAAACACTTTAAATAGAACTGTATCGGCACAGTAAACATGTAACGATAGTAGTGCTCATATATTGAATGTAAGGAATAATCGAATCGATATATTAACCAATGTTACATCTCTATTTTCATTTGTTAATCCCAATTTGTTGATTTATGTAAGTACAACTACAATTTATAACTTTTATAATTAAAATCCAGTACCATGTAGATCTACCAACGAAACCTACAAAACCAAACAAATCGAAAAGTTACATAAATTGAAACTGTTAAAGTGTACTGGACATGTTAAATTCTCTTTGAGTTTTTCTGTATTAAGTTGGTAAAGAGGTCAATAGAATGAAAATGTCAGTTTTGTAGTGTCTAAGTGCATTATAAGAGGCGACTGAAGATGTAACTGCGTAGTAACAAGCTTGTATTATTTCGCCATGTTGGAAACTCGCAATGAATCCATTATATCACTATAAAACGTGCCTATTTCAAACTACCTACTTACATTAAAACAGCCGATAGCTTCGTAAGGACAACATTGCGAGTTTTCAAAAGCTTTGAAAAGCCATTGAGTGCATCGCGTGTGTAAGGGGATAACAATAAAAAATATTTACAATAAAAATGTTTACTGTTCCTTTGCTCTTTTATTCCTTTGCGTACAAACCACTAAATAATTGACTGACTAAAAACCGATTAGTTTTGATATTATAGTAATTCCCGGGAGGAAAATCGATGTCTATAGGTAAAGGCTACTTCAATCATTGAACCAAACGCACGTCATGGAAACCCCTCGAACATTAATTTATTTTATTTCGATTTCAGTGTGTGGCAATCTTTATAACTAGAATTAGGATATACGTTTTGTTGTATCATCTCTAATTAGTATATTATATGTATCATCTGTCGTCTGTTCGTCACCAAAAAGCGGACGGACAGTGGAATCTTAGTAGTAGGGTTCCGGTTTTCACTCTTTAGATACGTCCCTTAAAACCCTTACCCTTAGATCAATAGACCTATCGGCGGTCTAACAATAAGATATAGCGTAAATGTAATTAATTCATTTTTAATCAAACTTAATTACTGAAGCTGATTTACTGATAAACATAAAAAGCTAAAGGCATTCTCAGAATATGATTGTTTAATAAAGTTATTTTACACGTAGGCTAGATAATCTCTTTGAATAAGTGGCAGCCGGATGTAGATATATTATTTTAAATCCGACCGTATAACCGGAGCGCTCAGCTCTAGAGTTCTAGACAAATAAACACACTTTTCAATTATTTTCATTCAATCTTTTAGAGATTGTTAATAAAATTATGAGACTAGCCAGCAGTTAATACAACGAAGACCAGAGTGATACAACGAGTGCCCTTTTTGTGAGGGGAAATTTCTTCTCCCGCCCAGGGTTGGGCGTCAGACTCTTACTGACTAAAAACACACCCGTTCCTTTTCTGCTCTTGGCGCTTGCCACGCAACCCTGAGTGCCCCGGCCTATGGACACTGACCAACAAACTGCGTTGAATTACTGAATCACATACATTTGTAATACCTAAGAATAATTAACTGTCTCTGTGGTATTTTTTTGGGGAATACTAGGCAATCGCCTAATCCACAAATGTTTTCTGACTTTTGCTTATTTAAAACTCGTTATAAAATTCCTGTGTGAATTTTCTATTGTTTTACCATAATTCAGCTTAGAGTTAATTGATACTTAGGTACTAACCCGCTTGCAGAACCTGGACAGATCCTCTGGTGCATGACTACCACCTTCATACAATGAAATAATTTATCTTGTTTTAGTTAAATTTTACCAGTTCATTTGTGTCCTACTTTACATTCTGCAACAAAAAGGAAGTAGGTATAAAATACTCCGGACACTGATCAGATCAGGCTCAACTAATAACATTTTTGAGCTTTAACTTTAACCTATCTTGATGCAAGCACACTGACAAAGGTACCTACCTATTACCTACCTTGAACACGTGTAAAACTGTTTGAGTTATTCTAATAGAAGCTCTCATTCTCTGTAATTAATACTCATGCAGATAATTGAATAGGTACATTAAGTACCCACGTAATTTAAATTAACCGCTCCCAGTTATAATGAAGCTTCATCATCGTTGTTGTGTTATGTCTGAGAGTATTACTTAATTATAACTGTTTCAAAGTACTCACTCTGTCAGTGAAAGTTTATTCAACATTCATATTAATATTTCTTTCATCGCAAATAAAACCCGGAACGGGCCATGGGCTCGTAAAAATAAGCCGGCCGGTGTGAAGTAACTAATAAACGCGCGAGGTGCTACATCTATAAATAAAGAGTTATTCTTATTATCCGTAATAAAATATTTCCATTTTATTTCTTTGTACTGGTTCATGTCCCATAAAAACGCAACAGTGACTTTATTGCTGTAAATAAGTAAATTGGAACATAATTCCTTGTTTGTGTGAACAAATAATAAAGAATTTTAATAGTCTTTAAACAAATAATATTGATTTTATGAACTGTTAAACGTAATGCTACGACTACATTTAATAGATTTGCTATAAATTATTTTTTTCAGTTAAAATATGTGAAACACAACATACTTTTATTTTTAACCACACTCGGTTTAGTATCATTTCACATAAACATTGATTCAACACAACACTTCGCGAATGCGATTACGACCGCTCTCAGCAGCAATGCGTGCCAACAGGCATTTTTAAATATTTGACCTATTTTTAGGCACCGCTAATAATAATTAGAAAAGGTAACGTGAACCTCTCAGCTGGCAGAGAATTCCGTGAGTGTCGCTCGGGGAGATTTAATTTATTCCTGTGGCAACATTTTCGATAATGCCTAACCACTAAACAAATTAATTTGAATTAAAAAAAATAACCTAAAGTGCAATGATACAAAATGTGGTTATTTGATTTAATACAAAGAAATATTAAAACAGGAAATAAACTCAGTGTAAATTATTAAAGGTAAAATTAAAACATAAAGTAGCAACACCAAACCAGAAAAAAGTTTGACATTTCGAAGTGAAGTTGTGAACGCAGTGAACGTGTGTGTAAATTTACAACAAAATATTTATTTTTATGTAGTGATTTTAAAGAAACCGTAAGTTTTTGAATTAAACATTATATTATTTTTGTTTTTTAGTTAGGATAACATTTTGTAGATGGTTTATCTGTCATAAAAAGGCTAACTAGCACTTTATTCCCGGAAATGCCTTACTGTTTTATTTTTAAAAAGAAAAAAAGTGAAAATAAGACCTTTGTGGGTTGTATCATCTGTGCATTCCGATGTTATTACGTAGGGCGGGGTCAGGGAACTATGGCCGATGGCATTTCCCGCGAACTCTTGAATTTAAGTGAAATATGCGCGCGAGTATTAAGTTTCTTAAAATAGACGAAATGATTGGCAAAGTACAGAAGCCGATAGTAAAATGTGTTAGTAGGTGATGGTCAGGTATCTGAAAATAATATTTAGTTTTACCTTAGCCTAAATACCCTGATTGTTACACAATACTTTTAAAATACATTTTTTTTTTCAAGTACATGTTCCATTTTTTTTCTATTGTTAGATTTTCATTCTATTTTGTTTTGTTTACTTTTTTTTACTTACCATTATGTAAGATGTATACATGTGATCAATATACAGTTTTAAGAGTGACACAACCACATAAATTTATTAAAATGGTTATTAACCAAAATTTAAATACCAATAAGATTCCCACACAATTCAAAACATCTATCTCTCTTCTGTACTTAAATCTCGAATTCCGAAATAATAATCTTTACTGTTTGATTTAAATAATATCAAATAAGGAAAAAGGGACTTTAAAAAATGTATTATCTAAAAAAAAATTAAAATATTTTTTTTTTCATTGGTTATTAAAATTTTTATTTAATGTTAATAGATACCTATCTAAAATCATTATAATAAATATTATCTATTAAAAACTTAGTTAAAACTTATCAAAAACTTAGTTAACTTGGTTAAAAAAACTTTTGAAACAAATATTATTTTCAATATAATAATATAAGTGCCTTCTTCATTCTAAAATAACTATTTCTTAAATCTGCAAAGACTTAAATATTTTCTTAGACGCTCACTAGTCACAGTACTCACAGATAATAATATTTTAAATGTCAAACAGTAGTTATTTGAGATAACGGGCCCATTAGGGTAGGCGCATTCTCTGGATTACGGTGCCTGATAAGATGCGGACTTGACTAAGGGATACCATTTCTTATTATATTAAGATAAAAAGGAGGCCAACTTACTTATGATTACTAAGCAGTTAACTTTTGAGTACATACATCCAATATAAAAAGAAGAAAAAAAAGTTGTCTATGTAAATAACTGATTTCCAAAAATCTTTATATGAGCTTTCCGTCTACGCCTCTAAGGCTTTATCTGTAATGAATTTTCTTTGAGTAAATCAAACCAAAATTTTATTAGTAAATAAATTAAACACCTAAGTATATTTTGTTACCTATTCCCAAAGCAAAGTTTAAGTATTTTTTTTTTGGTATGTATGACTATTTAACGTCAATATTTAGTACATTTTTAGTTTTTTTTCTATGAACTTTTAACAAAATTATTGTGTGGTGTAGCCCTGAATATAAGATATATTTTTTTTTTATATAAAACTAATGAAAGTTTATTTTTCACATTTTATTTCTTTAGAAATTACAAATAAGCCAAAGAAAAGACCAAAAATTTGAGTCAAGCATTCATTTAAACCAGTCTAGTTTTATCATGGCCTATTGCAATGAAAACAAAAAAAACTTTCTTCTATATCATCTAATCTTATTAGATTCTTGTTTACTATAATCAGATAACTTTTTTCTAATATTAAATGAGAAACACAATAGTTAGCAATTTTGCAGCTTCTTCTGGCCGTCGATATGATATCAAAACCGCGTGATCACTAGCAAATCTATGTTTTTTAATTCTGATTTCTGGTGCATATTCTACTTTTTTGCATGTGACTAAGTTTGTTGTTAATTCTAGCAATTTCCAACGTATTTTTTTCGTTATTCTAAAATGTTTAAAGTTTAATTCCTCGCCTTATTTCTAATTTAACTTGGCGAAAACATGTGCCCGAGATATATCACGCTTTTATTTTGTTGCTCGTAATGGCCCACATATCCATTACGTACAGTTCGGTCCTGATCCGACTAAAATTTTAGCAGGAATTTACATAAAAATAGTAACAAACGCTCTTATCTTTGGCGCCATCGAGCTTTTCAACACAAAACCCATTAAAACATGGCGACAAATTCTTAACCCACTTACGTCCCTTATGGCAACCTAATTCTGTCGCCCTTTTTTAGCTTCACGTAACCCTTTAGGTACTGATGTGCAAATTACATTATATTCACTTCTTCAATTTGAAAAAACGTTAAGAACATATTATTATTAGGTTTCCACGACAATTTTTCTTCTAAAAAACGCTTGCTTGTGAGTAAGGAACATCGCCAAGCTCTCTCAAGATTTCAATAGGTATACATAAAACAAGTTAGAAAAGATCATAATTATTGTCATGATCATCAACACAGACATACAAACCCAGCTTTTATCTCCGTTTAATTTGAACATAACTGCCATTACCTATATGGCCTGTCCATACATCAGTAGGTACAGA